GATTGGTGAGCCGAGGTTGGCTTAGAGATGACGAGCTCCGCCCAAGTCGGTGTTTGGAAGTGCTTCGATAGAGATGGGGTGGGCCCCGTGATACTGGGCGGCAACGTCGACGTGTATTATGTTAAAAGTTTTCCTGTCGGCTTTTTCCATCGGCCGTTTGGAAGCAATATCGTTGACTATCTCTACTCTCAATAAAGTTGCAGTGGGCCCCGCTATATTGTGGCGGCAGCATCAACGTGATTTGTCGTAGAAAAATTTCGGTCGGCTAGACCACCGACCTTCGCTAGGTAAGTCATTTATTGATAATGATCATTTTGTTGTCGGTGCTGACGATGGCGGCGGGCCTTGCTGCGGGATGTTTCCGGTCGGTCAGAATTTAACAGACATCTTCATCTCTTAAAAGAGAGGCGATTTGGACTGTGACATTTCTGGGATTGTTTACTTTCTGGGACGCTTGAAAGAACAGAGTTCAACTTTTGTTGCTTTCCTCATATACATATATATATATATATATATATTTTTTGTTTTTTACTGGCAATTTAAGGGTAGAAAAGCTGCAGCAAATATTTCTTCTTCCACAAAGCTTATACGGGGAAAAGAGAAAGAAGCTTATCTAGAACTTGAAGAGTAGTCTTTTTGCGGTAGAGATGGAGCCACTATTCCGGTGAAGATTAGCCCGAAAAAATTCCGGGCCCTTCCTCTAGCGCAAAATTGTTAATATGCGATTTTGTATCAACATGGGATATTCAGAAATTTATTTTTATATGGAATCTCTGTGAATTTTTCGTATAATATTTGGATTAGGAATCAAAGAATATTGATGGATTTGTTCTTTTTTGTTCTTAAAGGAAAACAGAGGATAGATAGAGAAAATAATAGTAGTCCCCTCAGACCTATCCTGATGACGTCCATCATCGGGGTCTATATATATTTTTTAGGTGGGCCCGTTATTATTACAAGCGGTGTTATTTGTGGGCCCTAAAATAAGACAATTGATATAATATATATCCACGTGTAATGTTTTAATAGGCGAGGCCAAAATTGGGTATTAACAGTATGGCGTAGAGATGGAGCCACTATTCCGGTGAAGATTAGCCCGAAAAAATTCCGGGCCCTTCCTCTAGCGCCAAATTGTTGATATGCGATTTTGTATCAACATGGGATATTCAGAAATTTATTTTTATATGGAATCTCTGTGAATTTTTCGTATAATATTTGGATTAGGAATCAAAGAATATTGATGGATTTGTTCTTTTTTGTTCTTAAAGGAAAACAGAGGATAGATAGAGAAAATAATAGTAGTCCCCTCAGACCTATCCTGATGACGTCCATCATCGGGGTCTATATATATTTTTTAGGTGGGCCCGTTATTATTACAAGCGGTGTTATTTGTGGGCCCTAAAATAAGACAATTGAAATAATATATATCCACGTGTAATGTTTTAATAGGTGAGGCCAAAATTGGGTATTAACAGGTTGGAGTAAATATTTTTAGCTAGTAAGAAAAATGGCGGTTTTTTTTAATAAAAATAAAGGTCATTAATTTGATATAATTTGTATAAGGAAAGTTTGCATTATTTAAAGGGAAAATTGCATTTTGTGCCCTGTAACTATACATGTGTGGCAAATGTGGACAGCTTCTTTTTGGTTTGGCAAAAGTGCCCCAAAACTTGTTAAAACCCGGAATTCGTGCCCATTTACCTACAAGTTACCGGATTTGACCAGTTTTTCGTGTGATAAAACAGGACAGTAACTTGTTAAAATTCGAAATTTGTGTCAAAATTGAGCACGAATTTCGAGTTTTAACAAGTTTCAGGGCACTTTTGCCAAACTAAAAAGAAGTTGTCCACATTTGCCACACACTCCTAGTTACGGGGCTTAAAATGCAATTTTGCCTTATTTATTAGGTAAAATTTATTAGGTTTTATTTATGATGTTTTATTTAATGATTAACTAGCAATTATATATATATAGATTAAGGTCTTGAAAGACAAATGACAGATGATAATCTCCAAATATATGAACCCTATAAAAAATCACAACTTGTTAATCATATATCCAAATGCAATCTTTAAACACTTTGTGCTAGAAACACTTAGACAAGTTCTATTTAGAAAAGGAATTTTATTATCTTACAATTTTTATGAGGATTCTATAAAAGAAATTTTGTTTTTGTGTAGATTGGTATGGCGGAGGAGTGTAAGTATTACAGTACAAAAAAAATGGCACTTGGATGTTGGGAAACCGAAATATCGATCACTCCTTGCATGACTTAGGGTGCAACCATTGTTTTCATCTTACGCCTTATGTGCTCGCACAACCTAAACAAGGAGATTTATATTTTGGAGTTCAGATTTATAATTATAACAAAATACATACCATTAAATTTTAATATGATTTTAGAAGTCTTTCAATTTTTTTCTTTTATTTTTCTTTATGTTAATTAATTTGTTTGGATAAAGTGTGTACAAATAAATACCAACAAATTATAATTTAATCAATGACTTAGATTATAATTTATAATAGGTCTTTTGTATCGGTATAATTTAATCAACGACTTAGATTATAAGTTAAATATTTTCTTTAAGTTTTGTTAATCTTTTAGTAAACTATATACATGTTTTAGTAAATTTTATTGTTTATGTATAAGTATAATTTAAAATAAAAAAAATAAACAAAGGAAAAAAAATGACTCATCACATCTAGAAGGACTCTAGAATAATTCTATCTCTTTCATGCCACATCAGCATAAATAGCAGTAATAAAAATACCGCTGGAGAAGTTCTTTTATCATATTGCTTCTACAATCTCACTATTAACATACGGTTGAAGATGCTCTAAAGAGCAAACAAAAGCGACAATTGACGATTTTACTTTACTAAATTTGACTTTTAGTTATGGTGGGATCCCACATCGAAAAATTAAAGGTTTCAAGTCCAATATATAAGTTTAGTTGGCTACTCTCTCTATTGTCAATTGGTTTTAGACTGGAATCCCATTTGAGCTTATATGTTAGGCTTGATGGAGAACTGAATTTTGAGTTGTTGATCTTAACAATTGGTATTAGAGCCACGGTTGGTAGCCCAGTTGCGATGTGGATGACGTGGCATGTTCACCGTGGAGCCTGAAGGCTGGTGGATCTGTGTGTCTTGTGTCGAAAGTCTTCCTGACGAAAGGATGTGGTCAGGCGGCGGGTTTCGTGGGTGATAACGGTGGTACAAGATGGTCGGATCGTATGAATTTCGTTTAAAGGGAGGCCCAATGTGGTCTTGTGTTTGAGGGGAGGTTTGTTGGGCTACGTGTGCCTTATTTTCATGGAATTAAGTCATTTCATAGCTAGGGAAATGCTCCCCTACCCACGGTGGACACATATTAATATGCCCACCGTGGGTAGGGGAACATTTCTATTCATAGCTAATGCATAGTTTTCTTATTCTCACATCTTCAGAATTCAGTTTTTTCAAAAAAAAGAAAAATAAAAAAAAATAATAAAAATATTAACAAATAACAATAAAAAACAAATATATAGTATATACTGCCGTCCACTTCCACGAAACCCTGACTTTTTGAGGGACGAGCTTGAATGTTTTCATCAATGACCTCTACGCTAGGCTCCAGATCGCAGTTGGAGTTCAAGTGGAAGGCCCTACAGTGTCCAATTCAGTTCCTATCGGGGGAGGACAAAGTTAGCCACCATCGTCGCCACTCGCCAGGGAAGGGACTCTCAACTGCTTGATCCCAATTCCCACGATTTTGTCAAGGAATCGGCGGTCCATGCGGTATCCCTGCTTGGGGCTGCCGACGATTTCTCCCGTAAGTGCGTGATCGAGTAACGGGCTTTGGGTCCTCTATTGAAAAATATCAGCCAGGGCAAAGAAAAATGTAGTCATGGCCGTCGAGTTCCTCGTCGTGTAGGTCGTGGCGGGTTATCTGGAGAGATATTCATAGTTTGCAATCTATATCCATACAATTTCTTGGTATTTTTTATTTTTTTTTTTAAAAAAAATAGATAACTTTTAGGGACTTATTTACAATTATAAAAATTTTAAATATGTTTAGTTAAGGGGCTATGATTTAGTGAAAGTTGACAATTACACAATAACGTTAAATGAAATGCACAATATCACGTTTGAATATGCACAATAAAAATATTCGCGTTGCAAAATGCACAATAATGTTAAACTAAATGAAAAAAAAAAATGATCACTAATGCAACTAGAATGTACATTAGTATAACATGTTCAATATCTAAAATGCACCTGCTTGAAAGATAAAAGTCCACATAATTACAATAATGCCACCGTACTAGAAGTTGTATCCTTTGATTGTTCTTAGAGCGTTGACATATCACATTCAACTTCTAGTATCCTTTGATTGTTCTTAAAGCGTTGACATCACATTCAACTTCTAGTATCCTTTGATTGTTCTTAAAGCGTTGACATATCACATTCAACACGCTACGATTCGTTCCTATTTCTTTCGCTATAATCATCCTACTTATATTTGTAATTGTAGGCAAAGTTTTTAATAAATCTATTTTGGGTTTCCCTCCATTATTTTTACAAATATATATATATATATATATATATATATTTCCCTCCATTATTCATCCCTCTTTTTTTTTCAAAAAATAAAAAATATACATAAATTTCGAAACTACATATTAGGAAAAAACTGATGTAAATTTGGAACTGAAAATGTATATGAGATAAAAACCAAATAATCCCGCATAGTAAACTAATATTAAGCTCTTGAAAGACAAATGACAGATGATAATCTCCAAATGTATGAACTCTCTGAAGCTTAAAATCACAACTTGTTTATCAATTATCATGTATCAAAATGCAATCGTTAAACACTTTGTGTTAGAAACACTTGACAAGTTCTGTTTAAAAGATGGATTTTATAATCTTACAACTTTCATGGCTAAAAACCAAAGGAAACACACACACACACACACACACATTGCCTCCTTCTAAACAAAACTTCCAAAAAAGTTCTTACCAATAGTCCCCACATGAGCAAAACCCATCCCTGAAGTGATGAAACCGGCTCGAGTCCCGAACCACGATTTCCCGCCCGACAATCTTCGCCATGAGTTTAACGGCCGAATGACAGTCTCCACAAGTCCTCACATTCTTCATAACCGTTATAACACCGCCATTTGTACCACTAACAAGCACAAAGCTTATCGCAAGCCTCTCACTATGGTACATCAATAGTTCTTCCTTTTGCTCGTCTTCAACATCGTGCAAGGCAAATCTCTGTTCAGACACATAACCGTGCTCTTTTAGCTTCTCCCCCAACCAATCCAACTTCTCGTATATTTTCTCGCTCAAAGGATGGGATTTATCGCACGAGACAAACGAATGCTTCACGCCTCTTATTACAACCCAACTCTTTCCGGGTTGTCTTGAAGTTCCGACCTTTTTCATGTGCCGTCTGATTCTCGCCACATCGGCCCATCTATGAGTCGAGGCATATATGTTCGATAGCAACACATATGCCGAGTTACAGTATGGTTCGATTTTGAACACGTTTTTCGCGACTCGTTCGGCAGTTTCGACGTTCGAATTATTCGACCTGCAGCCACTGAGTAACGCGAGCCATATCGACAGATTGGGTTCGACCGGCATTTTCGCGACTAAATCCTCCGCCTCGTCTAACTTCCCGTTTCGGCAAAGGATATCGACCATGCACGCATAGTGCTCGAGCTTCTTCTCCGAAGATGGAAAAAATCGAGGTATACTTTCGAACACGCGTTTTCCCTTCTCGAGCATGCCCGAGTGGCTGCACGAGGTAAGCAAACCGGTGAACGTGATGTCGTCCGGTTCGAGTCCCGTTTTTGTCATACGGGTGAAAAAAGCGAGGGCCCACATGCCACGGCCGTGCTGCGCGCAACCCGCGATTATCGAATTCCACGAAACTATGTTTTTTGGCTCGGTTTCGTCGAATGAGAGAATCCCATCTTTTAATTTCCCGCACTTTGTATACAAGACGATAAGGGAATTCCCCACAAAGGGGTCTTTTTCGAGTCCGAGCTTGATGGCCACAGAGTGAATCCCTTTCCCGAAGTCGAGCACTTCAATCTCACGACTCGAATTCAACGCGCTACTGAACGTGGACTGATTAGGGACGATTTTCAATCTCATCATTTCACGAAAGACCATTAAACCATTCTCGTGCATAGAATTCACGCCATATCCCGTCAGGAGAGCAGTCCACACAACTACATTATCATGAAGCTTCTCATCAAAAGCCTTCACACATGCATCAACCCTTTTGCACTTTGCATAAAACGTGACTAGTGAAGCAGTTACATACTCGTCCAGAACACACCCGAGTTTCAGGGCATGCCCGTGAAACTGCCGGCCAAGAGATAAATCACTTAAACCCGAGCAAGATGTGAAAACGCAGGAATAAGTACTCGAAGTGGGCTTCAGCCCGGCCCAAACCATCTTCAAGAAAATTAGTAAAGCCTCGTGACTCATCCCATGCTGATCGAGCCCGCTTATCATGGTCGTCCAAGAAATCACGTTCTTACAGGGCATC